GCCCTACATGTCGAGCAGCATATTTACTTTCCTTCATGTTGGGATTTGCCGTGGATGCTACATGATTTTGGAGGGTCATCTTGCCATTGTCAAACATCTATGCTTGCTTTGTTTTAGAGTTGAACCGAGGGGCGAAGTGCAAGAAGAAACAGCGCATTGGAGTCCCGAGTCCCCATGAGTCCCCATTTGGTCTCAGTTGTTCAGTGGCCCCCTTTTTCCCCCCTTGTTTTTGGGTGGCTGCCCCACCAAAATGGTCCAAGCCCAAAAAAGGGTTCCCTTCTTTTTCCAGGGTCACTGAACCACTGAGCGGCGAATCGTTTCGCGAGCTTGACGCCGCGTTCTCATGGCTTGCTCCCATGGCCACCAGGCAATATGAGGAGTCTTGGTGGGCAACAGCATCCGCGGAGATTCCCTCCCAGCAAACATGGGAGTCTACCGGCCCCGGGGAAAAAACAACCAGTCCGTTTGGACTCTCATCCGATAAATCTCCAACTCATTTGCGAAACACACACACACACACACATGTTCTTGAATGTGTTCAACACTAAGGAATGGGATGCCTGTGCACTACCATTTGCGGTGATTCAAACCGGGGTTCGGCCCCAAACATGGGTTGTTTCCTTTGGTTTCCCTTTAACCACCGAACAAAAACGGAAATCCACCATGTTGAAGAAACCTCCGTTGGGCTCTGTCGCCAAATTGAGATGCTTTTCGTCAGTCGAGCGCTCGCCTGGAAAAGCACGCCGAGCTTCCAAGAGCACGGAGGCGTGGTTTTAGGTGCTGGGGTCCCCGTGGATGCCCCTTCCATTTCTTTTTTTTTTGGTGTGTGTGTTTGGTTTTCCGAGGGCCGCACAAAAAGGTTGGTTAAAAGGGAAGTCAACGAGATCAGCAGGCAAACCACGTTTGTTGGGGGGTCCCTCTATTTTGACACATAGCCAGTTTGAGCTGAAGCGAGCTGCAGTTGTTTTTAGTCATGTGTGGCTGTTCTAAGGCGCGACGCATCAAAGGCACAGGGGTCAAGCAGTGTTTTCTTTTGAAAAACCTTCTTGCCAAATCTGCAGCCCACGAAGCCTGACCACAAATCAGGGGTGAGCTAATGGATGTGTCAATTTCCAGGAATGTTCATGAACATGGGCACACGCCGCCACTATTCTGGCTCTTGTAGGAACGGGAGGGGGTCTGTTTGCTCTTCGCTGTATTTGAGCTGCACTGTTGCTTGTGGGCACTTAGAGATGGTCTTTAGCTAAGTTGCTAGAAATCCCAGTTGCAATGGTTTGAAAAGTGGGGTTCATTGGGGGGGGGGAGGTATTGGTGGTTACAAAGTACTCACTCCGTCTGCAGGCTTCGCTGAGCTTGCGCTCACGTGGGTGTTTGCACCAGCTGCCGGTTGGCTGCGGCCGGAAAAAAGGATCAAAGCCATTTGTTGGCCCAAACAGTGGGTATCAGGATGGAAGACAAGTAGAAGGACAGTAAAGGAAAATACACCAGAGGGGAAGCACAAGGCGAACAATCCGAAAGTCCAGAAGCCAAAAGGAGACCATCCACAAGCCAAACATACACCAGCAATAGTTCGCACACTTCTTGAGAACGTAGACTTTAGAGTCACTTTTTGGGAGAACCGTAGTGGTGAACGACAAGTCCAGACGTTTCGTTTTTTGGCGACTCCAAAAAAGGTGAGCGCCAGTCCAAGCGGACAGGTGCGGACCTGCGGAGCCGCGGTCTGCCAGAAGCTCTGGGAGGCAAAAGTCGCAGAAGTCGGACCGGCCTCGGAATGGGGGGTGAGCATATGCTTCAGGGCTTGTCCAATCTCCATTTTTGTTGTTACGCTGCACGTAGGAGGATCAAGCTATCGTGGCTTTGAGTGGTGGTGGTGGTTTGGGGATAACCCCTGGCCTTTGTAGAGGGTAAATGGGAGCCCCCTCCTGAACCACCAAACCACTGGACTCCAAACCACCAATTGGAGGGAAGCTGAAGTGTGCCTTGGCTTTCAGTGCTCACTGTTTTGCGGTTTGCGAGCCGAACTTCTGGAAATCGTCAGCCAACGATGCACGCGAAATGGACGCCAAGAAGTTTATCTTGACGACGTTAGATTGGTTGCCTGGGTCGCGGCGTGTGGAAGAGCAAGACTCTTGACCGTGTCGCAAAGCTTTGGTAAATCAACATACTCATAGGTGTCCTCTTTTAGGTTCGTGTTTTTGCTGTCGGGCTGTTAACCGTCAGTGCAAAACCCACGTTTCGGAGCAAGGAGTTTTTGTTCTTTTTCAGTTGCGCGCCGGCAGCCATTGCGTTTGTCGGATCCATGCCTGGCAAATGTTAAGAACACCCCCCGCTCAGCACTCTATCCATGCCAGCGAAATGGTAAGCACACCCGCTCACGAGCACCAGCTCAGCACTGTATCCATGCCAGCCAAATGGTAAGCACACCCGCTCACGCGCACCCGCTCAGCACTGTATCCATGCCAGCCAGATGGTAAGAACACCCGCTCACAGGCACCTGCTCAGCACTGTATCCACGCCAGCCAAATGGTAGGATCACCCGCGCCCGCGCACCTGCTCAGCACTGTATCCACGCCAGCCAAATGGTAGGATCACCCGCGCCCGCGCGCCCGCTCAGCACTGTATCCATGCCAGGCAAATGGCGAGCACACCCGCTCACGCGCGCCCGCTCAGCACTGCATCCACGCCATACCCTTTTTAGCCACCGGCGCATACCCTTTTCCAGATCTCATCACGACGTGCTCAAAACACTCGAGCCATGCGCATGTTGATCCATTGAAGTAACACATGTGCCTGATTGAAGTGACGCCTCCAGGCTCTAGCAAAAAAGGTGCCCTTTTCGCAGCCGAAGTGCTGCGCTTGCCTGCGAAGTAGGAACACGGACCCCCCCAAGAAGCATGTTTTATTAAGTGCGTTTTGGGGATGAAAACGAGAGGAAGCGCTGAGCAAAACACAGATTCAGTCCGAAAGCCCGACAGTTTCCAGCCCGGCGGGGTGTTTTTGATGTAATATAGATGGCGCTGGTTTAGATTGGTTTTGTTTCATTTCCCAGGGCCGTGTAGTTGTCCAAACAGACACACCCAAAAACACACCTTTCTTTGTGCCGCTGTGGTACCGGAAGATGTCCTTTGGGTTTGGCTTCCTTGGCCTTTGCACTTGATTCATTCCCCGGAGACGTCCGGAGGATTTTTCGAGTTTACAGTTCAGTCTTTAGTTAGATCGGGTTCGATCAGTTCTTTTTTCAAGCAGCTAGACCCTGGCCCCTTGAAACCAGGTTACCTTTACTTTGTGGTTCGGATTGGTCTGGGGATGTGAGCCCATGGTTCTAGTGGGATGGAAACTATCCCCGAGCTTCCAATCAGGCCAAGCCAGGGGAAGCTGGTTCAAAGGGAGATGAACAGAAAATTTGGTTTGAACAGTAGCGGCTTGAATGTTGAGCCAAGGGTTCCGTTTGCCCACCTGTGTGTTCCGAGCCGGCCTCTTCTCCCGTAAAGTGCGTCTCCGCTATTAACCCAGTTGAGCTTGGATTTCTTATGATGCATTTTGGGCACCTAAATGCGAGGGCGTTTGTTTAAGGGTATTTTTGTATGTAGGTTTATTGATAAACCAGCAGGAAAGACACAATTTTGGGGTCCCCCTATTTCTGCACAGGCCCAAATGACCTTTTGCCAAAATTGTGGACCATGAGACAGTCTTTGAAGATTCTGCTAGGTGCTCGATGGTTAGGGGATCACAGGACCAGTTGAAGACAAGGAAGGTGTGAGAATGGACTCCTGACTGCTCGCCCGAGAGTTCCATGTTGAGGACAGCTCTCCATAAATTCTCAAAAGGCGGAGGGTGGCTTTTGGTACCACCACTTTTGAGATGACTGTCAACATTTGGGTGACGCTCTAGAAATGGGATCCCAGAAAGCAATGGGTATCCATTTCTCCAAGAGAGGCTGGATCCGACTGGCCGAGCCAGGGGAACGCCAAGCGACGAGGCACTGGTGCCCCTTTTTCTTTTTTGGTGCGGGGAGTTGGGGAGGAGCTGAAGGCCATGGAGAAAGACCGAAATTTTGGATTGTTCCACTTTCTTTGATACCAGGTCGGTCTTCTCAGTGATAAAGTGGTCGGGGTCGGATGGACGTGTTTGGTATAGCGCAATGTTGAAGGATCGAGTTCATCAAACAGCCAGACCATACCATCCCGTCAAGGGGAAGCCAAAAGAAATATTCACCAGTAAACCGATGCTTCACCAGGAGGCCTGGCCAAGCGCGTCTCTGTCAAAATCGCGGGCCCCCCAAAATGGCTTCGTTCTTTTTATTGGATTCCTTTGAATCAAGCCCAAACGCATCCAAGCGCGCCTTTGAAGGCCTGACGCGCCTTTCTTGAACCTACCCCCAATGCACATGGGGGCAATTCCTTGGAATGTCCTCTAAGAAAGAGGATTTGTTCGGGTTCCATGTTAATCTGGAGGAGAGTAGCTAGATCTGGACTCCAGAGTTCAGGCTCGAGCACAGACATGGCAACGGTTGTCTCAAAACGTGGCAGCCCTCAACATGGGGCGGTTTCCCTTTGGTCTTCCTTTACAGCAGCCCCATTCGTGGGTGCCCTCAAAAAGAACATACCCATACGGACCCCCTAAGAAGTGTTTGGTTTCCTTTTGGTCTCCTGTCTATAACCTGGGCAGATTGCTGGCTTTGACGAGAGCTGATGAAATGTTGGGGAGCTATCGCGGCATATTCCTGGAGAGAAACAAGATCGCTGGACTGCAGGCCATTGCCTGTGGAATTCCAACTGAAACAAATCCCAGCCCTCATGCGGTGGACTTGCCTGACGAAGACTGAACCCCCCTGGAGCAGAATGTCACCCGCATAGCTGTACATGGGCCGAACAAAAGAGGGGTCTGCTAAACATGTAGCTGGTGTCCCATTCGTTTTCCTTCAAAAGCAAGCATCAGTGGCTTCACTTTTGGAGTGAGAACCCGCAAGCAGCACGGCCGCCATGGCGTGAGCGGATCGGATGGCTTTGAGTTCTGGACTGAGCTCCGGAAGGGGGGGGTGGCCAAGGAGCTGTTCGACCTGGAGGGTACTCTAAAGATGGGGAATGACTTGATGTTTCGAAAATGGCAGGGGAGTTTTGGTTCTTTGACCGAAGGGGACTGGTGAGCCTTACTTTTGGGTTAAAAAACGCCATGGGAGGAAGCACCCACGAGCCAGTGACCTTCAGTGAGGTGCCATGCAGAGGGCATCAACAGGAGGCTCTTGACCCAAAAAACGTGAACCTTCTGCAAGTCGCAAGATGCGCCAAGAGCCAAGGGATAGCATGGCCATGAATCCCAACCGGGGCCATTTGAAGCTAGGGGGTGCAAGGCGCATGGTCTTGAGACGTGTGATCTGGCGGGTTTGAGGACGGCAATGTGCACCTCGTGTTTCTCTTGCTGGGAGAAGCGGTTTCAATCAGGCTGAGGTCTTTTGGGTTCCCAGATTCGCCTCTAGCGGTCAAACAAGAAATCGGTCAAGCTGCCTGTGATAGTCCTGTGAGCGAGGTGGAGAGTCGCGTTTTCCTTCGCCCTTGTTGCGCTTCCTTCGCTGATCCTAGGGAAGTCGAAGCACGCTGAACTGGGCCCAAAAGCTGATAGCCAAAACTCTTTTTTGGACCAAAAAGAACGAGGGAAAGCAAGCCACTTTTGCCGCCGGATTTGCATCGGATCCCCTGAAGCAGGTGGCTGTTGGAGGTCAGGGGCTAAACCACGGCACGGATTATTCTCTTATGATCCCTACCCCAACCTATCTCCCTGCAAAGCAGGTGGATTCGCCCGTTTTCGGCTTCGGCCCTAGGTCTGTTGACCAAGCAGCTCCTCCTGCTGTTCTTGGTGGTCTGGGCATCTCGGCGTGGTTTTTGGCTTTGGAACGGTACCCACAAGGGCATGGCAAATTGAGCCGGGCCCCCAAGGTGCTCCTTGCGGGTTCCCTCCAGGAGAACTAGGGGAGCTTGCTTATTTTTGCATGTGCCAGAGGCCCACACCTGATTTGTTTGAGGTGTGCCAATCCTGCTGCGGATGGACCAAACCCATTCCGCACCAGTTGGGATGGATGCAACTCTATGAACACTGGTTGACAAACCACCAATAGCCACTGCTGGATTTTGTAGCCATCCACGATATTGCCAGCTGGGGGTTGATCAAAAGGGGGTGACCATTTGGGGCAATCACCCAAAACAGATGGTCAGTTTGGGGTCAGGAATATTGATCAACCCCAATTTACTTTCAACCAGCTGTAGCAGCTGTAGCCTCGGCCTGTTAGACAACCTTCTAGCGGTTACTAGGGAAAGCCACAAAAAAATTGTAGGCCTCTGTGCTGCAAACCTGCAAAAAACCTAACGTTTTTCCAGGAGCGCAAGCCGCTTGCGCGGTCTGGTTGCGCGGTCTGAGGCTGGCTTGGTCATCTACCTCTTTGCCGTGCACAGGGCGCGGGGCCCCAGGCAGTTTGGCCCCTTTCGCGGACGTGAAACGGACCCCGGGCACCTCGAAGAGAGCCGTCGACGAAATAGGGCGAAGTACTGTGGGTGGCTGCGAGATCCATTTCGCACCTATGATGATCCCCTGTAGAATACCAACAAACAACAATGGGTTCAACCATTGTTTCAAAGTGGTGCGAGATGGATTTCGTCCGCAGTATGAGAAAAGACATGTCTAATTCTGCATCTGCAGGTTGACTGAATACAAAACACGTCTAGAAACGCATGTTTGGACCCTAGATTTGGGCCAGGGGACCTTCTTCGGTGGGTTCCAAGAAGAAGTTGTTCCGACCAAGAAAGCCATCTAGGGAGAGGTCCCGTTTTTTGTTGACGCACTCCACCAAATAGATGCATACAATTCCCGTATCACGCAACATTTGGACAGGTCCCCAGTTCGACACATTCCCTGAAATCTCTCTCTCTCTCTCCCTCTCTCTTCCTCTGTGTTTGTTGAGGATGCCCTCTTTTGGGGGTTGATTCAACAGGAAGCCAAAGGAAACAACACGTTTTTGTTGGGATCCATTTATTTTCACACATACCCATGGCCGTTTCGACTTGCCTGCCTGCGTCGGAGGGATTATTTGTTTGGCAAGAGGGTTTATGGTGGAAAGTGCGCCCACAAGTTCAATTGAATCAAGGTACATGTGATTAGTTCCGGCCCCATCTCTTTCAAGCGCAGCCTTCCAAGCATGGAAGTCTGCAAAAGCCCTTTTCACGTCAACAAAAGTATCTTTTGGAAAGGGAGGCCAAGTGCACTTCCATGTTGGAAGGGCACTTCACATGAGACAATTGCTTGACCAGTTTGGCTTCTCTTTCTGTGCTCTGGTTGCGATTCCTCCGGCTGTTGGGTGGCCCTTGGCTCTCCATTTCAGGCTCCGCCTGAGAAGTTCGCATGTTGCATGAAAGGCCATGCTGGGTTTTGAAGGGACGCCAAAAGGAACACCCGATCATTTGGGGGTTCCTAAAAAAGACGCACCCATTTGGGAGCGATCCGATCCTATTCACAAGCTGGGGTCAGAATGACAACGGATGGGGTCTACACTGCTTGGACATGCGACTCAACATCCAGCCATCCCGGGATTTTGTGGCTTCCGATCAGGGGGATCTGGGTGTTTCCTTTCCAAAAGTGCAGGGGCGAGCAGAAAGGAACTCCGGCATTTGTTGTCCTGCATCCAATTCTTAGGAAGACTTCATCTTGATCCAAATGTCCCGCCTGCCTCTTTCGCTGAGGAGCAGGTGGTCAAGGAAGAGCGGCGTCAAAAGGCGAGCGCCCGGTCCCAGAAAGATCCGAAAAATCGGGTCCCCGGTTTGTTTCAGAGACAGTGCCTCAACCATTGGGTTCCCTTTGAACAATACCCTCCCACCAACTGACATGGGAACCTGACGTTCGGGGGGTGCTGGTTCGGACCATTTTCCATCTAGAGGGACCCCGTGTCAAGTTCCATGTTAATTGGTGGGAGGGTATGTGAGGTGTGAAAGGAGTTATGTAAATGTTTTCTTGGTTTCTTTTTTTGCCGCAATCGGAGCACCGACCACCGGAAAATCGTATTTATTCCCCGTTGAGAAACCAAGACGTGACATCGCCTCACCGGGAGGTTTGCCGCCGATTTCCCCCGTGGCGAAGGCTGCTTCTTAATTGGGGTAGCTAGACACAAGCGCTGCGAGGTCAGGGTGTCAGGCAGGGGCATATAGCTATATATACTGCGTCTACAATACATATATGTTCAAACATGTGACATTTTTCGAAAGCCACTCAATCGATTCACCATTACTTTTCCTTCTTCAGGAACAAACCATTTACCTCTTCACCACCCACACACACAGAGAACAACAGACGCGGAACATGTTGAGAGAGGCTGAGCCGCCTCCACTGCACCTTTCCACCATGTGGGGGGGTGGAATATGACCTTGGAATCAGAGGGGGAATCTGGGTGCAAATGTGTATATGGGCAAGAATATGGGAAACGTATCGGCACAGGAATCATTTGGGGAGTGAACGGCATAAGATACGGACTCGTTCTCAAATGCGGAAGTCAAAGTCCCCAAAGCGACCCAAGGGTATCCTCAAAGGACTGGTTTGAACCCTCAGTTGCCACACATCAAAGGGACGGATGGATGGTTTGAAAGGGAGCTTGACTGGTAAAAAGGAAGCCGACCGTTTGGAAGGCAGCCAACATGGTTCCATAAAGCCAACATGGTTCTACGGACCCCAAAGGGAACCTAAATGATACGAGACTTGAACGGATGATGTGGATCCTGAACGGCTTGAATGGAACCTAAATGGACACACGGGAACTCAATTGTTTTTGGAGGGAGCTAAAACAAAATGACAAGGGGAACGGTTTAACGGTTTAACATGGGTCTAAGTTCGGTGGCGCAAGAACGGCAGCTCTGGAGGTTCGGCTGCTGGAGAGGCCGCGCTCCCCGCGCGTTTGGGCGCGTTTTTTTTTTCCCCCCCCCTTTTTTCGGGCGGCTCGGGGCTCCGGCCTCGCGGATCGGGGGACCTCTGAGGGCGACTTCTTTTGGATGGCTTTGAACATCACTTGCTCCGAGCCAACGGGAGTTTCCTTGCCACGTTTACATCATGGTAGCTATGGAGGATCATGATCAACCACCAAAACAGAGCGTGGTCGTTTTTGTTTGCCGACGTGAAATTTGGCAGACCGCGCGCTTTGACGCAAATTCTTTCGTTGTGGGAAAGGGGGTTTTAGGTGGCCGCCGTTTGTGAAAATTAACAAGTGAATTCCCTTCAAAGTGACGAAGCAGTGGAGATGGTAAGGGTTCGTTTCCACAACACTGGCCCCAGGCCTTCTGTAAGCAAACAGAAATCGTCCCGGTGTCATTTGTGGAAGGAGCACCATGTCGGGTTTCTTCGCGAAGTCTGCAAAATAAAAAGAAACAAAAGAACACCCGCATCAATTTCTATCCGGCGATCTGGGAATGAGTCCATGGGATCACGAATCCCATGGATGAATCCCACCATCTCCGAAGACGGGCAAGGAGCCCTGGCAAGCGCCGCGGATGTCTCAGCTTCACATGGTACCCTTCGCCACGGACTTCGCGAGAGAAACATTCAAGCTCCAAAAGCCGGTGGCAAAATGAATCGCCCCCGAGCTGGTCTTTGTTCCACAAGCTCCAAAGAATGGCTCGTCGGCAACGAGAGCGTGCACCAGAACTTGGCTCGCCATCCGGTTCCATTTCACCCACTAAAAGTTAAGCTTTGGGCGGGGGATCTGAGGGCGGCCCAGATCAGTTGTCCTGCTCGTGGAACTTGGCAGAAGGCAACTTCAGGCACGGCCGGCGAGGCGACATGGCGGGCAAGAGATCCGGAAGGTTCTTCCGACGTGAAGACGTGGGTGTTTCAGGTTCCGTATCTTTGAAGGCTTGTACGTTTTGGCGACCAAACGTGAGGCAAACAAGGAATGCATCTCTCTGGGGCCCAACAACCCTCACTAGATACAGCTGCACCAGTTATATGCTCACACATTCCGCAACAGGGCAAGAGTGAACATTGCTTAGCGTTTGATGTGTGCGAGTATATGATACGGTACATGTGAAAAAAGTTGGGAAGATTGAAAATGGCTTCGGCAGCTCTTGGTTTCCTTCCCTTTAAACCACCCCCCAAAAAGGGCTTCCTCGTCTCATCGTCGACCTTCAGTAGCGCATTGGCGACGCCATTGTTCAGCTGGTCGAACGCGGCTGGGAAACCAGAGTCAGATCGGTAGGACCAGATCGGCGAAGTGCCCCCCTCAACAGCGCAACCCCCAGATCCACTTCTCCTTTGGCTCAGCCGGAGACTGTCAGGCACTCGCTGACTCCCGGCAGCGCCCGGCCCTGCGGCGCCTGCGAAGGCGGGGTAGCGGAAGGGCGCTAGGTGTGGAACTGTGGAGACTCGGAGCCACAAAGAAAGGAAAGCGAGAAACCGAGACAAGGGAAACGAGATGGAAAACCAAGAGGAAAAAAAGAAGTGACATTTCCAACTGGAAGGAAGGCCAAAAGGAAGCTGGGTTGACAGTGTGGTCATTCCAGGTGGGGCCAACTAGTTAATTCAACATGTTCAATTGCTTGAGCATCTTGATTGAGGTTCCTTGTCTCTACGACCTGAGCGGAACCCCACGTTTGCGAGTTCTCAGCAAGGAATGAGGGAACTTGACACATCATCCCTTGCCTCAGTTGTTCAGTGGCTCCCTTTTCCCCCCTTTTTTTTGGTGGCTGCCCCACTAAAATGGTCTTCCCCAAAAAGGGTTCCCTTTTTTTTGCAGGGTCACTGAACAACTGAGTTGCAGTTGCATAGGGGATCCTAGGTTCAGTTCAGAAACCTCTCAAGCCTCGCACTGAGAGCCAAGTTTGAGACTCCCTTTCCGTCGTTACAGGCGGAAGGTAAGCCCTGGCTGGCCATTGAGCCAGCCCCGACGAAGTGCGGAGCGCTTATGACGAAAGACTGGAAGGATCTCTGGAAGCGCTTGCGACTGCTTCCCCCAGCTGTACCCTTGTCCAGAGAAGCACATGTAGGATTCCCGCAGGATCGGGCCTACCCAGGTGGTTTGGAAGGACATCAACTTTTTGTCACGGTTTGTTAAACTGTTAACATGTTCGCCCTTGAACACCAAAGTTTGACATACAGTATTCATGTCAGAGTTGTCCTGCTGTTCTTTGAGAGTCTGCACAATATTTGTAGGGCATGGGAGGAAGATAGACGTTTATATCAGTGAACAGCGTGTGGCCATTAATATCACTGCAGCGTGTCTGAAGTTAGCCGGATTTGGCGCAGAACATTTGTTCCAAGCGGGGGGCTGCAACAACCAAAGGCAGGAATCCCAACAAAAACAGGGCTCCCAACTTAAAAACGTGCTGGTGCGATAGGCCTGGAATGAGCATGGAATGATTCTAAGCCATGAGCATGGGGACCCTGACAAGCCATCCCACTGGCTTCTTTTCAGAAAGCCAAAGCCTGGGCTCAGTCCGTTTCTTCCCCATCGCCGCAAGAAGATCCCAGGCCATCCCACGCATATCCACGCGCCAGGAGCCGGAGCTGCCGGAGCCGGGGCCGGGGCCGCCGGAGCCGGAGGTCCGCGGTGCTGCTGGGAGCTTTCGAACCGGTACCTCCGCGCCGTGTTCACGGACTGGCGCGGGTGCCCGAGGGAGGTTGGGTGGACCCAGATCTTTTTGTTTTGAAGTTGGAGGGGGAATCCGTTTTGTTGCTTGCTTGAGCGCGAAAATGGGGGGGTGTACTGGTTTGGGGAGTGGTTGGCCGACCAATAGGGAACCTCCTCTTCGGATGGTTCTCAAGGGAGACCAAATGGAAGCCGCCGTGTGAGGATGCACTGAGTCAAGGTGCCTGAAATTGGGGGAAGTGTTTTTCCCGATTTCAAGCCGCGGATGTCGCGGATGCCGCGATTTCATTTTTTCTCAACTCTGCTTGACCCCCATTCCTCAGAGTGGCAAGTAAGCCGGCCGCCAAGTTGAGCTTGTGGACTCCTTTGCTCTCTTTGGAGTCGTTGGGCTCGCCCGGAAGCAGCTTCGTCTTGAGAACTTAGACATTAGAAGACTGTGTGTGACCTTTTTTGTAGCTTGGCTCTGACTTCCACTCAGATTTTGCCAACTTCACAGGACATTGTATGACTTTACAAAGGTCTGCAGTTGAAAAGAATTTGGCACTTCCAAATGCTGGGTCTCAAGCTCAAGGTTCTCACTTTTGTGTTGACACATCCGGCGTTGGTTTTGGGATTCCACGAAACGATGATTTGGCTGTGGCTCAAACAAATGGTACCCAAAATGGCACCTTGGTAAAAGGAAACAAAGACTAAGATGTGCTAACCCCTCCTGTTGAAATTTGAGCCACACGCATTTGATGTTGAGGGTTTGAGTTTGAAACAGTTTTGCCGGTCTCAAAAGGCCCTCGTTGCAAAAATACGCGCTGCTCGCTGAGTTCGATTCGTGACCGGTTGAAACGGCCCCTAATTTTGGCAACACAGGCCTCACACAGAATTTGCTTTGAAGTTGCTAAAGCAAAGGACAACGACACAACTTGCAAAACCCTAGCAGGAACCTTTTTGGCAGGCGAACAAAACAACCCCCCCCAACCCCACCCCAACCCCTCACCTCCCCCCCCCCCCAACCCGTCACCTCCGCCCCCCCCAACCCCTCACCTCCCCCCCCCCCCCACCCACTCACCTCCCCCCCCCACCGACCGAGCGCAACCGACCGGCCGACCAATCAAGCAACAACCCACACACCCGCCCCCCATAAACCAACCTAACCACAAACCAGCCAACTAACCAACTAACCAAGCACCAAGCAACCAACCCACCCACCCGATCGACCAACCGACCAACCGACACCCACCAACCAGACCAAGCACCCAAAGCTCATGGACCAGGCTGGACACCCACCAGACCCACCAGACCAAGCCAAGGACGCCCATGGACGCCTGGAAGGTAAATTTTATACCAAGTTTGAACTATCTCATCATTCTGAGATCTGATAAGGATTTCAAGACTTGCATGGATCCGATGGTCTTATTCTAGTTTAGCGAGTCGAATTTTGATGTTCAAGATTGTTCAAGGATCCATTTCACCACCCAACCACCAACCAAATAGACCAAGAGCCCAATGGAGCCCCATGGAAGCCTGGAGGTTCGCTAACCAAGCGGCAAATCCAGCGGCTCAGGCCGCGGGTGGCCTGGCGTGCCCTGGAGGCCAAGGCTCTTGAGGCAGTGTCCAGCGCCTCCCTGGCGGCGGGGGTTCCTCAGGTTGGGGAGCTGGGCGCCTGGGCGTTTGCTTTCTTTTGAGGGGACCCCAGAATGGGGGGGGCTTTCCTTAAGAGAAAATACCCCAAAAGACGAAAGAGGTACCCTCCAAAAGAGATCTTTGCCTCAAAAAGAATCGGCGTTTTGTAAGGGGACACCCCCCCCCCCCGGCCAGAAAAAGGCACCCTCAAACAATGATCTTTGCTTTTTTTGTGTGTGCGAGACAAAGAGTGTTGCCTTGTTGTTGTGTTTGAAGTCTTCGTTTTGCAGTGTTTGGTCGCTTCTTTCTCGAGAGAAGATGATGGAATCGATGCGACCAGCGCGAGGCGGTGCGTTTGCTTCCCACTACAGGGGGGCATAGTGAGCTTAAAGCGGAATGGGCAGATGCAGGCAGTGCCGAAAACACATGGGGTGTTTTCAGGTTGCAAAGGTCTTGACTCGTTTTCCTAAAGCCGAGCTTTTATGCTTTTGGTCTTTTGGGAACCCTGGCTTCAGCAAGATTTAGTCACGGTCCCCGACTATGAACCACTCATGTCCGGGTCCTTTGGGCAAGTGAGCTAAAGGGGGACCAGAAGGAAGTTAATCATTTGCGGGTCCCCGCTTTTTTCCCCCATCCACTGGTCTTGCTGCCAAGATCACGGGCTCAGATTTAGCCAGTGGCTGCTAGGCCCTTTGTGGGTTCCTGTTCTCCAGGGTAGGGATACCAAAAGGGAATCACTTTCATAAGGGTCCACAAGATTTTGACAGATATTCATCCAACCATCGTTTGGAGGCCGTCGTTTGGGCCAACGTTTCCGGCTTATCTCGAGAGCCGAGGTTGAATCCTTTCCGCTCTTCAGCCTCCTTCCGGCGAGTGAGAAGGATCCAATCGATTCGTTTGCCGGGGGAAGGGGCCTTGGGCGTGCAAGACATGAGAGAAATGGGAGCGTGGCACCACCATTGTACATTGGTCGCTCGGCGCTTTGACTCTGCCCTCTCCCACAAAAAGTAGATGATACGGTGGATGGACTTCCTGCACCAGATGCAAGGTCCAGTATTGTTGGGGGTTTCATCCATCTCAACTGGTGCAGGATTTGGTCTGTCCGCGGTACTGTAGACCAACCATCAATAGAATGGCCGCCGATGGAAAGTGGCACCGTCGTGGCTGCCCACTGGCCTCCGAAAATTCAAGGCCACTTGTAGCGAAATGCGGTCTTCGCTGATCGCCGCAAACGGCACGGGGTGTCAACAACAGCACGCCAGGCAGCGCAACATAGCCCTCAATGTAAAGAAGGGATGAGCGATTCTAGCCGGTGGTTCATGCAAGTGATGCCCTTGTCCAAGGACACCTAGTGCGCGGGTAGTCTTCTTTAACCATGGCGGTGGGTGTGGCAGGTTCGTTGCGAGGGCCGCCTCGGAAGGGATGACTTCTGGGGATGCCCTATATTGGGCACCCATTGGTCCACTTAGCGGGAAGACGTTCCTAGTGGCCACTGAAACAGCTAAGCCTTCAAACATTGCATATGTTTCTTAGTGCAAGAGTGTCAAAAGATGTTGGTGGCTCTTTGGCACGTACCTTTGACCTTTCTATCAGGACAAACACCAGCCACGTAAAGCGGTGAAACAAAATCCCAAAAGAGACATGTAGGACAGATATATTTGCCGAGGAACTCATGGGCCATGTCGAAGCCCGTTTTTCTTGATCGACCTTCGCAAGACTAATCATACAGTAGGGGGTTGGGCGATCGTTTTGGTTCAGCAAATCAAAGAGTTAACTTCACGATCTGTTTGTTTCACTCTTTCTCTCTGTCTCTCTAAATTTCCAGTTGCAGATGTGATTTGCCCATGATCTCCTAAATCTTGTCCAAATCCTATCAGGAATTTGGGCCTGTTTCTTTTTTAGGCGGATGTCAACAAGTTCCTAGAGCGAACCACTTTACTTCCAGCAGCTGCGGGGAATTCTCAACTGGAGACCGCCCTTTCTGGGAACAATCGTCACTCACCTGCGGAAACTCGGCACAGGAGGCTTGCGGGCTGCAGGTAGGGATGGGGCGATGGGGCGATGGGGCGATGGCACGGAGTGGGTGCCAGAGGTGTGGCGTGTGTTTGAGGCGGCGCATTGCCCATTGCCCAGGCTCCACTTTTTCTGTGTGGGGCTGCATTTGATCAAGTTTCTTGCCTGGACTGGATGAAAAGACGTTGAGGAAGCGCCTTCAACCAGTCTATGCAGCGGTCCTGGGTCTGTTTTTGTCGTCCTGATTCCCTGAGAACGAGCAAGTGGGGCAGGTTTGGATCTTGTAGCAATTTGTGGCATTGACCGACACGCAGTGCATGGCTTCCTTTTAGTAAGCCGAAGAGCGACGGGGTGGACCCGAGTTGCTGCGCTCCGCCATTTTTGCTGGGAGCGCCTTTGTTCTTCCAAGCCATCGGTTTTCTCGTGAACACCTTGAACCCAACAGTTGGACATGGGCCCCAGCTGAAACCCAAGGGTTTGCTCACGGCATCCAGTGTTGGCACATCCGCTTGCACCGAGCGCAGGTGTTTTTTCTTTTTGAGACATATAGGCCTTGGATATGTCTCACTTCGCCGATGGGCATGCTTTCTCCACCATGTCAACAAAGCCACGCATCGCCAAAGCAAGCAAGCGCGACTTTTGACTTTGGGGAAATCCCCGATCAAGGAATTGCCGAACATGACTCCAGCTTTCGCGGGAGGACAAGAGTCAGGGAGCTTCCGTTCAAAGCTGGTAGTCAATACACACGCACACACATGCAGGCTTCCAGCACAGGGCATCCACTAGCTTCTTGTCCTAGCGATATGGCTCAAAAGCTAGGAAGAAAATGACCCAAGGAAGCGACCTGCCTCGACCTGGCCACAAAACCAGCGTAGACCTGGTTAGACCGTTCTTGCATCGGAAGAACATCGACGGGTCGTTTCGCGGGTTCCACCGCTGATAATTCCGACTTTGTTGTATTCAGGGTTTTCTGCAGTCGCGTTTTGGGCTCTTCTCAAACTGAGGCGCCTCACCACTTCTGCCCATTATTGGGAAACCACATTCACCCGGGGGATCCAATTTTGAGACGCATAATTCTCCCCGCAAAGGGGCTGGTCCAGAGATACAATTTGGTCATTCAGCACCATACCTTTGCTTAGCAGGCCAACAGGAAACTACTCGCTGTGGATGGACGAAATCCATTTCGCGCCACCTAAGAAACCCCTGAATGCCGATTCCCCTGCAACTACCATCAAACAATGGCCTCCCATGGTTTCGAAGTGGTGCGGTTAGTGGATTTCGCAACCATCCGCATGTGGGTCCTTAGGGGATTCTCATGGGTTGGGGTCGTTTCGGCAGATTGCCTTGGTGAGCCATCCCCTTAGCTTTTAGATGGTTTTAGGACTTTTGGTGGTAGTTTCCAAGTTCACCCACGAAACAGCCCAAAAAACCAAAAGCTGCAGGAACAGTTTTTAGCTTCTTATTTTTTGAATTAAGGCCCTTGAACGGTTGTTAGCCTTGTTTTCAGCGGCGAAGAGTGAGTCACTTTCAGAAGATCAGAAAACGGGCGGTCCAGTTGACACGTGGAGCCCAAGCCGGCAGGCAGTGAGCCACGACGCGGCGTGGTTGAGGTTGGAGCTGAGTGCTGGGCCCAGATCTCCGTAACGATCTGCCAGATCCGTTTCGGGCTTGGCACTTGTAGAAGGAAGAGCTTTCTTTTTTTTGTGGACAACCAATTCGGAGTTGGAGTTTCGGACTTGGCACTTTTTGAAGAGCTTTTCTTTTGTGGCACTTTTTGAAGAGCGTTTTTTTTTGTGGATGACGAGTTCGGAGTTGGATTTCCGGGGCCAATGCACTTTTTGGGGAAGACCGTTTTGACATCCTGAGGTTCCGTTTCGGACTTTTGGGAAGACCGTTTTGGTGGCGATGATAAAAGTTCGGAGTTGGATGTTTCTGGGCCAATCCACGGAAGTGAGTCGTCCACCAAGGGTTCCCCAAGATTGGGCTCCTTACAAGAGAATACCGTGATTATGCGTGCGTGCGTGCGTGGCTGTGTGTGTGTGTGGTGCTGGTGTGCCGCGAGTGCTTTTTGTGTTGGTTTGTGCCGAGTGTATCGCGCGAGCGTGCCTGTGTGTTATTCTTCGCGTGCAACGGCCGCTCTTGTGCTTGCTGTTCGTGCTAAGTTCGGAAGAGTGTGCGTGGAGCCATCAAGCCAACATACATCACGACTGACATACAAGTTGCGTAGGTTTCAGATTTCGCCGTGAGGCTGTTCCAACGGCATCCTGGCAGTGTTCTCGGCGCAACTGCGCGAGGACACCCTTGGATCGGTACGTGATACAGCGTTTGTGGGTTCGGTGCTCCCACAAAACTTGAGCGGAGGCCACCGTTATGTCAGTGCATATCAGTGCCATGCAGGGCTTGGATGCCACAATGCGCAGGATGCACACTACATCCGCTTCAAGGCGTGCTGAGGAAAGCCGATTTGGGCTGGGTTCTCGCAACACCAATTCAGACAGGCAAGAGCCCCACTTCTTTGGAGCTTCGGGATGGTTTCTATAGATCAGAACCGGGTTTTGGTGGTTGAACATCTTGGCTCTGCGTCAAAATTGGGGGGACTCCCCCCCCAAAAACAATCCGTGGTTTCCCTTTTGGCTTCCCTTCAAGCCAAGCTGAAAAGGGCAATATAAGGGGCTGAACAATGACTACATTACTCCCATAATCATGATCCAATTTGGTTCAACAGTACTTCACACACCCATTCTCAGTATTCAGGCCCTCGCATTTCTCCCCCTTCACGAAAGGCAAGTCGTCCTTTTTGAGGCTTGGTACCGGTACCTATTCTGACGCTACCCCACAACCCTTTCACAAATATACCGTCAAACCCCGTGGTCCCAAATTCGAATTATGTCGGCCCTTCAGATGGGCGTGGAGCCCTTTTTTGTGGTTTCAAAGGAAAGGTCTCCAGCAAAAAAGCACCACCAAAAAACAAACACTTTTTTGTTACAATTTCTTTAGGTCTCCCAAAAAAACACCAAACAACGCCCCACCCATATTTTGCCTCCAAAACGCCGCAGTGGCCACCGGCAGGTGCGCATCCTGTCGGGCCCTGGATGGCCCGCGGCTGGCTTTCGGGAGCGGCGTGCCCGGCGTTTGGGGGCGTTTTTCTCGGCTCGGTGCCCGTGGTCACGGGAGGGCCCCTCACGTGCGGATTGGCTTCTTGCGAGCGGCTTGTGCCTTGAATCCACAAGTTGAACTGTCCGGTTGAACCCCATTCTCACCCATTGACACGAAAACAGAACCCGGGGTTTGGGAAATCCATTTTCTTGAGCATTTGCGAACTCCGCAGCTACTTGCAGAGCCGCTTTTTCGCCATGAGGCTGCAGCTGTGGAAGCTGCATGGGTCCAGCCACATCCAGGAGACCAAGCATCCCCGGGAGTCTGAGGAGGAGAGTGGCTCCGGTCCGGCAGACGGCCCCCTTGGAGTTTTTGTGGGTAAGTGGAAAAGTGTGAGGGGCTTTACGTGCTGGTGCGATAGGGAATGAGGGAATGAACCTGAGGATTCCCTTAAAGGAAATGATCAGAAGGAAATGGTTTTTTAGGGGTCATTCCATTTCTCATTCCCTGCCTATCGCACCAGCAAGTTTGCAACTTCGAGGTGAAATGAAGGGCTCTCTTGCTCCCTTACTCAAATAGAGATCGGATTGTCTGAATGCAGTGCAAGTCGACACCCTTTTTGGGTTCATGTGGCGCGTGTGACACGTGGGTGTGGTAAAATGAGCTAGACCCCCCAACCGGCTGGTTTCACGTTGCTTCCATTGCACCGCAAAAACACCACAGCTTGACGCCGCCGCTTTCGCCGTTGGGCTCGAAACACCGGCAGGTCTTTGGGACTTCAGCCTAGGCCTGGACACTTTGAGCCCGGCAGTCTTGAGCCATGGGCGCCTGCGAGTGTGTGGAGATGAAGCATTCCGGGGAGGCGCGGGGAGGTGTGCGAGCAGAGGGAACGGAAGGAATGAGTGGCGGAAAGGAGTTGAAGGTTTTGGAGCAGAGGCGTGGACGCGCCGTGAACCGAATGGATGGTGGAAGGAAGGGCTTCTTGAATGTGATTCAACGGAGAATGCTTTTTATTTGGTTGTTCTGCGAGTCTGGAAAGAAGATCCAGGGCCATTATTTTGACTGTTTCTGGGGGTTGTCAAAGTCCAGAAAATGGGGGTAGTTTCTCTGTAACTACCACTTCGGGGCTGACTTTGATCACGGTAAAATCATGGGGCCAGAAAATGAACCAAGAGGTCTTTGGGACGAATCTTGAGCCCTTGCATCGATGAAAACCGCGGTGCCTGTGATGTGGCACAGGTTTCAAGTTAGAAGCTTGCACGCCATGGGTCAAACTACACTTTCACTTAGGGTCTTTCAGGATGATTGTGAACCCTTTAAAAGGGATTTGAGAGAACCAATTCAATGGTAGCACATAAGGAGCTGTTGATCATTGTACATATGGGTATGTTCCAAAAAAAAAACACCCGCCTTTTGGTTTTGTTCGTTATGCAACCAACCGATGGTAGGGCATTTTCCTAAGGCATAACTGAAACTGAGCCTCTAAAACCACACACCAAAACGAGTACCCAATTTGTTGAGTGTACACTGAATAAAACACACAAACACTTTTTTTCCCATGGTACACACCTCCTTTTTGGTCAGGGGGGTGGGCAGTTGGGCTTTTCCCGGGCGGCTCTTTCTGTGGGCTTCTCGCATCTCTCAGGGGGCGACCGCCGCCTTCTCGGCACAGAACGCTTTTGGGAAGCCCACGCTCCTTCCAGGCGAGGGGCGCCCCATGTGGGTGGCTCAAAATTAAACGATCGGAGGGGCAAACCGCAGGATCCGCAGGTTTTGCTGGTTTCCACTTGCCAGGGCAACCCATTTTGGAATTCCGGTCTTCTGAGCAGCCATGTGAGCCACAGCTCAAAACCCGGGAAGGTGAGTGGCTGGCCCGTCCCAGCCGGAAAAAATCGCATGTTGTACCCAGGTTTTGATGGGTGACTCATGTGTCTCAGAGTACCTTTGATGGACCCAAAAACACGTGCGAGCGAACAGCGAAGAGAAGAAGCAACATTTTCCAGAAAGATCTGGCGACCTTTGCAACTCTGGAAGGTTACAACCACGCTAGACACCAGTTGGCTGGTCGCAATGGGGTTTCCATGCCAGGTGCAGGATTTGGTCCACGGGAATCGGTCGCATTTCCCTAAGTTGGCGAGGGTTTGCTTTTGGTTCCCCGATGTGTATACCAACCAACTTTAGAAGGGTCCGAACACCGTCTTGAGAAACACTGGAAACCAGTGATCTGTGGGTGACCCGTTGAATGTGTTCTAAGAAATGGGTTGCTTTCGGAAGCGAGAACCGCAGGATTGTCCTTTGGTGCCCGTTCATTGGAACCCGTTCAGGGTCCCTTGACTCTGTATTTCACCATGGTTCAGCCAGTCTTCCCTCATATAGCCACAATATAAGGAGTATACATATATATAACATACTCCGTTTTATTTACGAGGGCATGTATGTCCACCAACCATTTTGGGCGTGTTCCAACCAGTAAAAAAACATAGTCACTGGCAAATGATGAGAGGCCATCACACTTAAAACTGGCGAAATCCATCTATTGTCAAATGAATTGAATCCAGCAGAGACACCAATGGTCCCAACCAATGACAGAAGCGAGTGTCCGTGAGTTTGGTCCACATGCGCTAAAGCCACGAATGCCCATGGGTTATGGCAGAATCGATTGCTTCCCGCTGATGAATTAGGGATCTTTATGTTTGCCAGTTGGTTTGAGGTTAGAGGTTGTCAGGACTGATGAGCATGTCATGATTCAAATTTCCGTGGCATGCAACATGAAAGATATGACACAAAGCTGCGCTCTTTTTGGGGTTGACCACACCTATGGCCCACATGCTCCGAGCCTGTCGGGAGGCAAGCCGCTGACATTGCCGATTCGGCACCCAAGCGGCATTTTGTTTGCCGGGATGATTTTAGTGCTTCACTGTTCTTGCAAGTGTTTCTTTTGGTTCTGTTCATTTTAGTAGGGGCCTTCAAAAAACAGCGTTTTTTGCGACCATGCCAAGGCATGCTTTCCTCTCGCCTTGTCCACATAGTCGTGGGTCTTGTTGGGCATGCATGAAAATCGTGGAGTAGTCTGTGTTTCAGCGTTCTTGGATTATTTGTCCTTGCAATGTGATGTCTCTGACTGCACCAGCATTAGTTTCAGTTTATGCCCCGCAGGTCCAGAAATATACCCGGGGGTGGAGGAATGGTCCTGAAACCTATCAGAAGGACTTTGAGAAAGAAGAAAGAGGCAAGACTGTCCCCGTTTCATAGGGTTTGTGGTCACTTAACCCGTTGGTAGAGCCAAATGAAATGACCTGTGCCCAACATTTGTGTTGGTCATTTGAGCTGGGCTTCGGTCTAGACTGTGAGACCTCTTTTAACATGAGCCTTTGTATGCGTGTGTCTTAAAATAGGGGCACCCCAAAAACGATGGTTTCCCTTTTGGTTTCCCTTTCAACCAAGGAACAAATGGTACCCTCGGAAAAAGACACCCCGACACGCACATCTCCATCCCCTTAGCTTTTTAGCCTTTCGTGTTTAGTGGTAGTTTCCATTTCACCCACTAAAAGTTAAACTTTTAGCGGGGGATCTGAGGGCAGCCCAGAAAAGTCAACGGAGTTTGGGCACTGCTCAAATGAACCCCTGGGCATTCATTGCTGCCGTCCCAGAGCTTGCGCCAAGCACCACATCTGGATGACCGGACGTCTCGCCAACGCCGAACGCACTCTGTGAGGGTTTCTCAAAGCGACTTGATTTCCCTTGCCGCAAGAAAAAGAGGGCCGTTTCCATTTACACCTCTGGGACAAAAAGAGTCCCTTCCACACTTCTTGCTGATTGCAGCAGGAATGAGGGAGTGAGCCCCAGCCATCTTCTGTGGAAACCCTGTAAGGGGAATCCCTAGATTTATTCCCAACACCCTGACTCGGTCATTCCCTGAGCACCAGATGCCTTCTTGTTTTTTGCGGACGTCACGACCCCAGGAAGCGGGTACGAGCTGCGGAGGGCGTGGATCCACCGGCCGGGGACTTGGAGAGGGAAAGCCCGGAAGCTTCCAGGGGCTCCTTAAAAGATCAAACCATTTTGCAACCATTGGAAACATGGCTTTTTCAACACCAAAATAAAGTTGGACACCACCATTTACAAGTTGCAATGTTCGATCGGTGTAGAATCTAAGGATCCCTGTTCCATGAGTGGGTTTTCCTCACATAGCCAGGGCCTAACGTATTCGAAGCGGGTGTTGGGCTTGAAGACCAGATTTCGGCATTGAGGGAAACACTATGCGTATTTGTTGGCCCCTTGCATTGCGTACATATTGCTCTTGCTGTGTTTGCTCGTTAAGTCGCCTTCTGGTTGCCATTTTCAACAGCTGCCTCCTTGTGCGGCGTTCAAAGGGAACATCTAAGAGATCCCGTACGTGTCCACCACCACGTCGCAAGCCCCCTTCAGATGCGTTTTGGCGCTAGCACTGTTTGTTTCCAAATTTGGGACACCAATTGCCAATCTGTTGACATTTTTTTTGCAAATTCAACACTCCAGCTGCCAAAGGTTCGTGGGAAACCGGCCATCTCAGAGCGTTCCAGCCCATTGTCGTTGCCGGCAACGCATGTGAATGCTGAAGCTCTCAACCAGGGCTTCTTTCTGCCGTTACCCCAGGGCAAGCTTAACCAGGGGGTTCCCTTGTGGGGGAAAATCGACCATCGGTGGAAGTCTACCTTAGCCGAAGAATGCAACTCAGCTCACGGCTTGAGAGCAGTCCCACCCCTTGAGGCACCAGACATGACGCCCCCGCACGTGAGCAAGTCCGCTGGCAGGTGGGGGCGACAGGCAGTGGCTGAAACAACCAGACCTTTGGCGCCCCCCATTTTGGAGGGGAGCCAAAAGCTTCCCCAGAATCAGCTCCCCAAACATTTTGTGATTCTTTGCTTTCTTGGGTCCCCCTTTGTTTCCACGAACATGTTTTTTGCCGGGGCCCTAAATCCAGCAATGAAAGGAGGTTGTGCTACGTGTTGAAACAAGGGGTTGGCAGTGGCTTTCGCTGGGACTGGGCTGACACATCACCATGCCTTTGTTTTGAGGATGAGTTGGACTCGTTTTGGCAGGGGACGTCACAGGTGGCTGGGGCCTTGCACTTTCTAGCCTCACTTTCTGGCACAGGGCAGAGCCAAGAGGCGCCTCATTGGCTTTCGCTGCTCACAGTAGGGGTATCCTAAGAGTATGATTTCCCTTCTGGTCTCAAAATGAGGGACCCTGAACTGTTCTTTTCCTTTGAAACCAACCAAACGGTCGCAGCCTCCCCCAAAAAAAAGAAAGAAACAGACGGCGCCCAAATGGAGCCGAAAGAGCAGTGTGC